GAAAATGATTAAAGAGAGGAAAAAGCAGAGTGGATGTCGGACATCTATATTAGTCCTCCTTCTAATGAAAGTCGTGAGAGTGAAGGAGAATCAGTCAAATATGGAGAGAGGATGCTGCTCAGTGTTGGATGAAGGCCAAAAACCACCATGCACACCCTTAATCACTGTGTGTGTGTGTGTGTGTGTGTGTGTGTGTGTGTGTGTGTGTGTGTGTGTGTGTGTGTGTGTGTGTGTGTGTGTGTGTGTGAGAGATAGAGAGGGGTGTATTGATCGGTGGGCGTGTAGAGAGGGAAACTGTACTACTACCACAACCCAACCTCCACCGCTCACACACACACACACACACACACACACACACACACACACACACACACACACACACACACACACACACACACACACACACACACACACACACACACACCATCTTAACTATAGCTTCAGGTAATTATGTGAAGCAGTGCTGCTGGCTGTTGTTGCTCATTGATCGTCTCTAATAGGCTGTCCGGAGACACCGTGGTAAACCCTTCAGGTCAGAATTACAAATTGCAAAGGATCATCTCACACTTTGTGAAAAGGAAAACACCTGTAAGCTAAGTCGACTTTTTCAAATGCTTTTGTGATATTGCACTTTTTTTTATGTAAAACTTATTTGAGTTATTTTGGTATGTCTTTTATGTCCTAAAAAACGTTGAGAGCAGCGAAGAGTTTAATTAGTGGTTTGTGAACACCAACTTGGCCATTAAAGCTGATCTTCATTTTGATTTATATAAACGAGGGTACAGCTAAATGACAAAAACACATTTCAGTATAATGCAATACAAGTCATCACCACCTCAACCTTTATTCTCCAAAGTAAAGTTTCATTAACGACTCGCTAAACACTGCTTATGGGATTTATTGCAGGACTGCAAAAGTTCAACACAATATATGGGAAATAATATTTTCTAATTAATGTCATTAGAATTTTGTTCAACATTCATAATCTAATTTTGCTGAGATAAAAATAAAGTAGGAAAGTCAGCAAAAAACTAAAAGCTATTAACATTTTGGGACCACGCTCCCAGTTTTTCATTAAAAATGTATTTATTTATGTAAACTCATGCCATGATACTCTATTTTTATTTCACGATATATTGCTCTTTAATCCCTTCATTAATCTATATTAACAAACGTATCTTTTTTATTTGTAATATTTGTATTTATTTGAACAAATGTAGGCTTTGGATTTAGACTTCTGGTTTCATCTCTTCTGCTGCCCTCCAGCGGTTTGAATAAAGAACTACAAATTCTCCCATAATGCACTTCCTCACTTTTTTTACCCACAATCCCCCGCTGCCTGCAAACCCTTCGCACCAGTGAATATGGCGGATAGAGCAGGTAAAACATCGTGTCCTCTGCTTTAAAATATGTTAAATATCTCCATAATGTGATTTTGTCTTAGTAAATGTTTATATTTTATCAAACTGTGTGTGTTTTATGGTCTGTCTGACCGTTAATGGATACATTTGAAGGGTTTTGTCTGACTGTAGGCCGCTGAATCCTTTAAGTCACGTCAAGGACTTTGCTTGTCATTGCTCGTTTTCTGCTTTTAAAATACATTTAATAGTCTCTTTTTGCCAATTAACTGTCATGCTAAGCTTTAAACATGACTGTGACTTTGTGCAAAGCTGTCATAATTAAGTTGTCTTTGCATATGTACGTTATGTAACCGTTTCTTTCTGCTAGCTTGTACTGTAGCCTTCAAATTCAGTGCTTGTTACCAATAACTTTGATATTGAATTCGGTTTATTTTAACCCTGAAACACAAACTATTCCTTAATAACTAAACACATGAAGTACGAATTTGCTTTCCAGTGGGATTTGAACGGTCTGCCATAATACTTAATTCATAGTAACGTTAGCATTCATGTCATCCGTTGCAGGTTGACCTTTCTAGCTGCATTAATCTTTTTATTTGATTACGGGGTTTTTTCAAAGAGAGAAAAACTTTATTGATCCCCAGGGGTAAATTAGGTTATATTTGAACTTTATTTTTATTTTCTGAATTTTACAGAAAGTAGAGTACAGTGCTGCAGCAATGCATTAGTACATCAGTGGAAAATACACTTTAGGACAAAGGTGAATGGAGTTGCATACAATACATAAAAACAACAAGCATATTAACCTTCTAGTTAAGATGGAAGGAAAGGGAAGAAGTTAATCTATTTGTATTGAAGAACACCTCCAGTGAGTGTTATATGTGAATCAGTGTTTTTGCTTTTATTTATTTATTTCTTGAAGTTGATATATTTGTATATGACCTCTGTAAGAAGACTTAAATAACTCCCGGTCTTTGCTCTCTCCACTTGTCACCAGTTCCCGTTGTTGAGAAGCGTCTGATGGAGGTGAAGCTGGGAGAGATTGGGACGTGGGTCGGAGGTCGCGACTTCACCCCCAACGGGATGTTCTCTTCCGTCCGCAAGGGTGAGGAAATCTGCTCTGACTTTCTGTCTTGAAAGGAAGAGCTGTCACAAAAGGTCAATTACAAAAAAGGGTGCAGATCCCATTTAGATGAGAAGAGATTTGATAGAGAAGCAGCAGTAACCATTGAGTTTAAAATCAAAACAGTAGCAGAATGAAGCGAGTGTAACAGAAAAGATTTAGATACAGAAACCTCCTTTATCAAATTACCAAGATGCAGTGGGAAAACAAACCTGATCAAAGATTGTAGCACGTTTTCTTTTTTTACATGTAAGCGGTTTCAGCAGTTCATTTGACAAGAAATCAAAAGTCCTATTAAACAAATTTGATCTTAAATATCATACCTGTTTTAAGGTTTAAAATTCAGCGAGCAGAAATTAGGGCTGCTCGATTATGGCAAAAATCATAATCTCGATTATTTGGGTCAATAATTGATTATCAAAAACTAGGCAAGGCAAGTTTATTTATATAGCACTTTTCAACACAAGGCAATTCAAAGTGCTTTACAAAAAATGAAAGACATTAAGAAAATGGCATTTAAAATCAGTCATTAAAAAGAAAAGCTAATAAAATAAACATTAAAAGAAAAAAATACATGGCAGTCAATTAAACATTAAAAGAAAAAAATACATGGATAAAAGTTACAGTGCAGTCTAAGATATGAATAGTTCAATTAAAAGCAGCGACAAAAAGAAAAGTCTTCAGCCTGGATTTAACTAAATGGATTATTATCCATTTAGTTTGAAAACATCCATTTATTTAAAAAAAAAGAATTGTAGTTTTTAACAGTTGATTACCCTGAACTTTAAGTATAATTCAACTGAAAAACCAATACAATTTTTTTATAATAATCGTTTTATTACAATGATGTTGTTTTCATAATCGTTGCAAGCCAACATCGTAATTGCGATTTAAAATACGATTAATTGAGCAGCCCTACTTTCTTTCTTATCAACATGCACATTTCCCCCAAATTGTTCCATGCTGTGACCTAGCAACTGTTCTGCAAGGTTGTCATGTCAGTGTCTTCACTGTCATTCACAAAACATCCTGAGAGTAGTTCCCAATTTGTTCCTAAGACAATCCTTAATATATATAAGGTGCATTTTCACCCCTTATTTGAATACTCAATATTTCGTCCAACTCAGTTTGAATAATAAGTCATTCAAAAACGGCCTTAGACCTTGTAATCTTTGTAATCTTTTGGATAAAATCTGTCTTTCAAGCATCAATCATGTTGGTCAAAGTTTCTCGGCAGCTTCGTGAAAGCTTCTTGCCTCTAGCTTTTCCTCTTTCACCCGTGTTTATTTACGTTCAAATCGATGCATTCAGGTCATGAGAGCTTTATAGTTTGAGGATGAAATGTGAATGTAGTTCTGTCCTCATGCAGTTTGTGTTTCACTCCCAGGCTATGAAAGATACCTCAACAAGTACATCTACGTGAAGAAGGGAGGCATCGGTGGTCTTACCATGGTGCTGGCTAGCTACGTGGTGCTCAGCTACGTGTGGAGTTTCGATCACATCAGTAAGAAGGCTTTCCTTGTTTTCTAGGACAGATAATGTCACTTTCCAATCATCCACAAAAACACCTTTTAACACTTAAACCTCTTCCTCCATCTTTTCTTCCAGAACACGACCGCATGAGAAAGTACCATTAAGCTCCTCCCATCAGACCTCCTGGAGCTTCTGTTCCCCGGCTCTCCATGTTGAATATGTGACTGTTGTGACCAATAAATCTATACTAAAATGTACTGTTGGATATCATGTGTGGTTGTTTGTGAGTTTAGTTTCCATTATCTACATTTCAGCTGAGTAAACAGTGAGAACTCTCAACTATCAGAAAGTGTATGCAAATATAATCGATACATCTGTTACAAAAAACATTTTATTTCCACTGTCATAAATCTTAAATTTGAATATTGTGTATTAAGAAGTAACACTAGGCCTCCACACACAACTGGTAGATACTCATTTCCAGGATACCCATGTATGGTATAACACTTTTAAAGGTCCCGTGACATGATCATAATTCCATTGTTGAGGTCTAGAATAGATTTATTGTGCAATTTTCCAAAAAGCATCTCTGTATAGTCACTCTGTCCTAAACGGCTTGTTGGAGCTCCTGTGAGCCCAGTGGCCGTCTGCGAGACACAGCGAAGCCCAGCCCGAAACACCCGCAGCCTGGCTGGGAGTTTGTGTGTGTGTGCTCAGGCTGAGTTCCGCGCTGTCTCACTGACCCCACACTAGTGAGCCAGCTCAGTGTCGCGAGCCTCGCAACGTCCCGCCGTGTGTGTGAGGAAGTCCGGATTGGTCCAAACGTAACGGCTCCGGACATTACTATACCCAAGAAGGAAACAATGGAAAAAGAGAAATGTCCAACGAGGCGTTCTGGGGCAGCACAGACAGGTCTTTTCTGTGTTAGAGTTTTACTCGCTGCAGGGTGTACTTTGAGGGTTTGTGACTGCAGACCGTTTACATGCAGAAAAACCTTCATAACACACAAGGGGACGGGTGATAACCGGAAAAACATGACATGGGAACTTTAAGTGTGTAATTTGTGGTAAACGGGTCATTTAGGTTGTTCTGAGAAAATCGAAAGCATTACCGGATGGTTTTGGGCTCTAACAGAGTACACACATCATGAATTTACATTCTACTGGCATTTATCACTTTTTTTTTTATTGCATTTACACTGTCGGACAAATGTACTACAAGAATCAGAATAGAAAGACAGTTATGGTGTCACTGATGCAGTCACATGACCGAGGGGAGACTGGAGAAACAGCAGCTTGTTACAGCGCTGTTGGATCCTGGGTGTCACATCTATTTAAATATTGTACAGTACAAACGTAGAAAACTCTGAAGACTGACACATTCAAAACCACAGATTGTGACCTCTTCTCTTTCTTGTATCCACAAAGAATAGAAACAGTAGCCATGTTTATCTGCCAATGTCCATATAAGTCATCATGAAGGGACACACTACAGCGGCAGTCAAAGTCTTTAAGTTCAGCCTGAAGAGCAAACGGGTCGGGGGGGGGGGGGGGGCTTCTTCTCTTCTGCTGCTCACATTGTGGGGGGGGGGGGGTCCGGAGGTTACTGTCCACTCAGGAAGGCGAGGTGTCCTTTAGTGCATTTGTTGGCATAGTGGCCCTTCTCACCGCACTATAGACACAGAGGACAAGAAAACAAAACATGAATGGCTCTTAATCAGAAGCAGATGTTAGAAAAAGCACCTTTTTGCTTTCTTGCCTGGAGTTATTTGAAAAGAAAACAATGTCTCTCGTGCCTGTACAGTCTATATGTAGCTGGAGCCAGTTAGCGTAGCTTAGCACAACAACTGAAAATACCAAAACCTCATAAAACAAGATCAATAACCTGTTTTATGTAATTTACTTTCTGTACTAACAGTGAGTGAAGTGTTAAAACAGAGTTTGCAGTTAAACACTGGCTTACTGAATGTATTATCATTATGGTTACAATTTGGACTGCGCAATCTGTACAAAATAACTAATTGGGATTATTGTGTGAGTACCCTAGCAGCACAGTTTTGAACAGACAAGCTCCAGTATGTTCAAAACTGTGCTGCTCGGGTACTCACACATACAAAGCCATGGCAGCACATCACTCCCACCCTCATCCACCTCCACTGGCTGCCGGTCAAGTCCCGCATTACCTACAAAGTCCTCTTCCTCACCTACAAGTCCCTCCATGCCCACCAGTACTTATCGGACCTCCTTCGCCCACATGCCCCCCCGGAACCTGCGGTCTTCAGACTCTGGCCTGCTTACCACTCCCCGCACCAACCTGCGAACCTTCGGGGACAGAGCCTTCAGTGTGGCAGCCCCCACCCTCTGCGGAGATCCTCAACATCCCCACGCTTGACGCCTTCAAAAGGGCCCTCAAGTCCCATCGGTTTGCTAAGGCCAATGGCCCCTAATCTATTTGTTGTTTTGTCTGTCTGACTGTCTGTCTGACTGTCTGTCTGTCTGTCTGACTGTCTGACTGACTGTCTGACTGACTGACTGTCTGACTGTCTGTCTGACTGTCTGTCTGTCTGACTGACTGTCTGTCTGTCTGTCTGACTGTCTGTCTGTCTGTCTGTCTGTCTGTCTGTCTGTCTGTCTGTCTGTCTGTCTGTCTGTCTGTCTGTCTCTCTGTCTGTCTGTCTGTCTGTCTGACTGTCTGACTGTCTGTCTGACTGACTGACTGTCTGTCTGTCTGACTGTCTGTTTGACTGTCTGTCTGTCTGTCTGTCTGACTGTCTGTCTGTCTGTCTCTCTGTCTGTCTGTCTGTCTGTCTGTCTGACTGTCTGTCTGACTGACTGTCTGTCTGTCTGACTGACTGTCTGTCTGTCTCTCTGTCTGTCTGTCTGACTGTCTGTCTGACTGTCTGTCTGTCTGTCTGTCTCTCTGTCTGTCTGTCTGTCTGTCTGTCTGTCTGTCTGTCTGTCTCTCTGTCTGTCTGTCTGTCTGTCTGTCTGTCTGTCTGTCTGTCTGTCTGTCTGACTGTCTGTCTGTCTGTCTCTCTGTCTGTCTGTCTGTCTCTCTGTCTGTCTGTCTGTCTGTCTGTCTGTCTGTCTGTCTGACTGTCTGTCTGACTGTCTGGTTGTCTGACTGGTTGTCTGACTTTAATATTAGTCACATATGAAGAAGTTAAACTTTAAACATCCATGACTTAAACACTTTATCCAGGATAAAAGCCACAGAGCTGCACCTGCAAGGTGAATACAGCTGACAAAAGAACAAGTGTTTGAATGCGTACATTAACAGGTTTATGATATCACTGCCCCGTCTAAAACACGATCTGACTTTAATTACATTTGACTCGAGTGTTTCGTCAACTTAATGTGTTGCTTAAAATAATACTTCTGCATACAGTATGTGACACTGTGAGTGTTGCACGGCCAGATACGGCTCAGCTGACTCAGATATGGAAATATATGATACATTATGAAGTGATATGCCGCGGACTGTACTTAATGTTACTCTGATCCGGTTACTTATGTTGTGGCAGATATTTAATTAAGCTTTCTTAACGCTAATGTTATAATAATCAGATTGCTCTGAAGATGAGGTGATATTCTATTAATGTTCACGTTCACACAGTCGGTGATTTTTGCCGGCCGTCTTTCCTGCAACGGCAGTTTTTCTGTATTTCCTTTCTCCTGTAATATGACTTGATCGCTTTAAACTCCGCACACTGAGCTCTGATTGGTCAGCAGGCAGTGCTTTCACTGAGTTGATCTCTTAGCCTGCAACCTAACCTGGTCCCGACCAGGGTGGTGTACTACGAATCTAGTTCAACCTATCCTGGATATGTTTTGAGTTATCTGGTTGACTTAATCCAACACAAACCCGCTCTCGCTAAACTGTCCTACAACGCTGACTATCAACTCATTCGCTCAAGCCAGCCGTGTCCCATCTAGTTAGGTGCGCGTTCACATGAAAGGGGTGGTATCTGGAGCATTCGACCAATCACAAACATGGAGAAGCGTACTGACAGCGCAGCGTCATACTTCCTGAATGAAAAGTCAACTATAATATTAGTCAAATATGAAGAAGTTAAACTTTAAACATCCATGACTTAAACACTTTATCCAGGATCAAAGCCACAGAGCTGCACCTGCAAGGTGAATACAGCTGGGAACAGAACAAGTGTTTGAATGCGTACATTAACAGCTTTATGATATCACTGCCCGTCTAAAACACGATCTGACTTTAATTACATTTGTCTCGAGTGTTTCGTCAACTTATGTGTTGCTTAAAATAATACTTCTGCATACAGTATGTGACACTGTGAGTGTTGCACGAGATACGGCTCGGCTGACTCAGATAAGGAAATATATGATACATTATGATGTGATATGATATGAATGATAATGGGACACATTGACGTCTGCACTCACAGTGCCGCTGACTGTAGGCAACGTAATGTTACTTTGATCCGGTTACTTAGGTTGTGGCAGATATTTAATTAAGCTTTCTTAACATAATAGTATAATAGTTATAATAGTCAGATTGCTCTGAAGATGGAGGTGATGTTCTATTCATTTTCACGTTCACACAGTCGGTGATTTTGGCCGGCCGTCTTTCCTGCAACGGCAGTTTAAACTGTATTTCCTCCGCACACTGAGCTCTGATTGGTCAGCAGGCGTGGTGCTTTCGCTGAGTTGATCTCTTATCCTGGAACCTATCCTGCTTCGGAGCACAGACTAGGTTCCAGGATAAGTCACCATGGAGATCTAGCCCGCTAAAAAGTGAACCAGCTTCGTAGTACCGGAAATCCCAGAAGTTATCTTGCTAAACGAAAATCCTGCTTCGTAGTATACCCCCCTGGTTAGCCGCACAGCATAAGTTACCATGGAGATCAAGCCCGCTAAAAAGAGAACCAGCGTCGTAGGACCGGAAACCCAGAGGTTTCCCTGAAGTTAGCCGGCTAAGCGAAAATCCGGCTTCGTAGTACAGGCCTCTGTTCTTCTTTGTAAAGCGACCTTGGGTCTCATGAAAGGCGCTATATAAATCCAAGTTATTATTATTATTATTGTTGTATCTATAAATATGGTGCCATTTTTAAATGATTCTCGATATTGGAGGATTTAATAATTTCTGCATCATTCATAGATATTATCTTTTAAAAACATTAAAATATATAACATGTATATCAACAAGAAAGCATAGAATATATTTCCCCAAACTACAGCTTTACCATATTATACTTAACTCTGTTTTACGGCGAAATTCACATAATAATACACTTTATTTATATAGCACCTTTCATGCAGTATGACAACAAATCACAATCACAAATGAGGAACATAATTAAAATATGTATAAACAATAAAACATGAACAGTGATACTACTAAAAATGATAAGCCAAATTAAAAAGATAGGTCTTTAATTTACTTTGAAATTGAGGTTGCTGTTCTAAGATCAAATGGGAGGCTGTTCCACAGTTTGGGGCGATATCAAAACCAAAAGCAGCCTCTCCAGTTTTCTTGTAATGCACTCTAGGTACTTTTAAAAGTGAAACATTGGAGGATCTAAGTGTCCTTGCTGGTTGATAAAAAAGAGAGACAGTCACTTGAATATGTTGGGGCAAGATTATGTAAAGCCTTGTAAATCATTAAAAGCACATGACTCACCTTGTAGCAAGTGACCTGGTCCAGGGGCCGGGGCCCTCTGTTGCCCCCCATGTGGTTCTGATGATGAGGAGGAGGACCCATCGGCATGTGGTTCTGCGGGCGCATGTTGGGACTGGAGTTGGTCAGCTGGATGAGAGAGAGCGACGAGCGGCCGATGGTGGGAACCGGCTGCAGCAGGAAACACGGAGAGAGACATGATTTTTACTCTTCAGCCGAGGTGGGAAGTAGTGGAGTACAAATACTTTGTTCCTGTACTTATGTATATTTTTCTGGTATCAGTACACGACTTTTTACTTCTTACATGTTGAACACAAATACCTGTACTTTCTACTTCTTACATGTTGAACACAAATACCTAGGGATGCACCGAATATTCGGCCACCGAAAATGGTTAAAAAGGCCCTTTCAGCTTTCGGCCGAAAGGGTTTTAGCACCGAAAAAATATCACCGAATGTCAGAACAGGTTTACGTTGGTAACCTAACGTGTTGTTGTGATGACGTAATAAAGACGCGGCGACCATGCTCGCGGCTGGCTCACAGGGGGGGGGGGGGGGGCGAACATTGACCTTTGTCATCGAGATTGCCCTGAGCCTTTAACAAATCGTATTAAATAATCTGATGACAGACTGTAAACAGAATAGCTGAAATTTTAACAAAATAAATAACTCAGTTTCCTCTAATCATTAACCCATGTTTGTATAATGTAGTTAACTCCGTGTGTTGCTGCTAGCATACATAAAACCTGACGTGGAAACGTTACTCGTGGATGGAGCTACAGAGCTGCTAGAAAGACGGTCGAACCCGGTACATTCCTCCGTCTGCATGCGGTGCACTTTTGCTAAATGTTTAGACAAATTGCTCGTGCTTACATGCTAAACTCTTATTGCACTTATGGTAACAAGTATTCTCCACATCGAGACGGGTAAAGTTTAACCACACCTCGGAGCGCGTTCTCTCCGCCATCTCCGCAGTGTGCTCCGCTGCATGTAGCAGCTGCGTGTGTGTAAACTGCCCCGCCCCCTCGCACACAGACAGGGGAGAGAGATCTCGTCTGATCGAAAATACATCATAGACGCATTTGTTGTCTTTGCATATTAGAAACGAGTTGGCGACACTAAGACTGCGATATCATGTTTTTTAGCAATAATACATGACATATATAAATGTACTGTATGCATTCAAAAGTGCTGAATAAATGTTTTATGGACCCATAATAGTGATTATTATTTAAGTTAAGTTTTGCCATAATCATGTCTATTTCCATAATCAGGTAGCTGAACAACATTGGTAAAAAATGTATACATTATATATATATATATATATATATATTTCTATTAATCATTTTCGGCCTTTCGGCATTCGGTTTTCGGCCAACTGTTTCCTATTTTCGGTATCGGTTTCGGCCAAGAATTTCCCATTCGGTGCACCCCTACAAATACCTGTACTTTCTACTTCTTACATGTTGAACCCAAATACCTGTACTTTCTACTTCTTACATGTTGAACACAAATACCTGTACTTTCTACTTCTTACATGTTGAACCCAAATACCTGTACTTTCTACTTCTTACATGTTGAACCCAAATACCTGTACTTTCTACTTCTTACATGTTGAACACAAATACCTGTACTTTCTACTTCTTACATGTTGAACCCAAATACCTGTACTTTCTACTTCTTACATGTTGAACTCAAATACCTGTACTTTCTACTTCTCACATGTTGAACACAAATACCTGTACTTTCTACTTCTTACATGTTGAACCCAAATACCTGTACTTTCTACTTCTTACATGTTGAACCCAAATACCTGTACTTTCTACTTCTTACATGTTGAACACAAATACCTGAACTTTCTACTTCTTACATGTTTAACCCAAATACCTGTACTTTCTACTTCTTACATGTTGAACACAAATACCTGAACTTTCTACTTCTCACATGTTGAACACAAATACCTGAACTTTCTACTTCTTACATGTTGAACACAAATACCTGTACTTTCTACTTCTTACATGTTGAACACAAATACCTGTACTTTCTACTTCTTACATATTGAACTCAAATACCTGTACTTTCTACTTCTTACATGTTGAACTCAAATACCTGTACTTTCTACTTCTTACATATTGAACTCAAATACCTGTACTTTCTACTTCTCACATGTTGAACTCAAATACTTGTACTTTCTACTTCTCTCATTTTCCAAACAGCTGGTTCCTTTAGTCTGAATGTGTGTTTGATGCGTGATCATTATTCTTTAGAGTCATTGCGTGCCTATTGATTTGAACACGATCCGTGTATCCATCATTTCCTGGTCTTCTCTAAAGAAGAGGGACCGATGGAAACGTTGTCATGTTGCCGTTGTTCAGCATGGAAACATTCATTAGCTAACAATGACATTATTGTTCTATTAATATAAAGGGAGCTCAGGTACTCTTTAAAACAGCTGCTAGTTATGGGTACTTTTTACTGAAGCACATTTCAAAGCCTCTTTACTTTTACTTGAGTAAAGAAGTTTAGTCAGTACTTCTACTTTCACCAGAGTATTTTTAAACACGAGTATCTGTACTTCTACTTGAGTAAAGGAGGTGTGTACTTTTGCCATCTCTGCTCAGCAGGTAAATAACGGAGCAGTATAAAGATGTGAGGGCTTCAGCAGGGGTTTTTTGGGTATTTGTGGTAGTAACTTACCTTTGCCTGGTTTTGCATTTGCTGTGACAGAGGAGGCTGTTCATTGGCTCCCATTGGCAACTCAAAACGAGGGCTGTAGGAAAACATCTCACTGTTAGATCTACATTACAAAACCAATCTACAACAGGTGATAAGTGTTTTTTCACTTTTTTTTTTAATCTGTATGAAACAAATATAGAAAGGTTACGTACTGCATGAATTTACAGGATTTCCCCTCCGGACAGAAGCCCACCAGGTAATTCATACAGATCACTCTTCTTGTGTGTCTGTGTCTGCAGTCAGGACCTGAGACCAGGAGAAAGAAAACAAACAACAACCTTTAATTCATTTGTATTAGAAAAGTATCCGGGGATATTGACTTAGTATCTCTAAAAAGTGAATTAGTATTTTTAAATAATGAAAAACGTTCGAAAAACATTTAGAAACTTTTCCAAAATAATTCTATAGTTTCAAAATAGAGAGGCGAAGTCACGCCCATCTACTTCCGACCCATGGGACCTTATTTCGGAAAAATTATGTATTGAAGTCAATGGAGAGAAAGATTATCTTTCGATCCCGTTTGTGCCACGAATTACACATATGATGTTTGTCAATTAAAAAAATTATTTCCATGTCAAAAAGTCACAGTTTGTCGTAAAACTGTTGAAATATAAGACTATGAAAAATACGCAACTAGAAAGACTACAAATCCCAGAATCCCGGTCCTGCATGCTGGCTCTCACGGAACCAACTAACTCCCCTTGTGTGTATGTACAGCTCTCAACGTGCCCAGACTTGGAGTGATTTTCACCTCTTTTAATACTTTTCACTTCATTCTGAAAGAGAGAAGTGAAATGTGCCAACGTGACGGCCGTCTTGGTGTGTGGTGCGAGACGGGAGATGTAGGTCATTGAGCGTTTCACACAAACAAAAGTGTTACTTCACAGTTTTACGACACATTTTTATTTTTTTTGACTTGCAAAATGATCTTTTAAATTGAGAAACATCATATGTGTAATTTGTGGCACAATTTCTCTCTCCATTGACTTCAATACATACTTTTTCCGAAATAAGGTCCCATTGAGGTCCCCCGGGAAGGGAGGGACTTCGCCTCTCTATATATAATGACTAAATACTTAGTGTTTCAACATTATACCTACTATGTCAACAACAAAAATTACTTTGTTTCTTAAAATACTGATAAACTTATCAAAATAATGAAGTAGTCAGTTCAAATAATGGTATAGGGTCAAAATAATGAAGTAGTATCTAAAAAACTCTTTAAATAATGTTAACGTTTCACAGTAAAATTATTGTCTATATATTCTCAAATTAAAACCTAAAAAAAGGTTTGGTAACAATTCTTTAATTTGAAGTCATGATTTTGAGAAAGTTTTTCTTTTTCTGGCCTAAATGGGCTTCCATACAAACTGTATATTTGAGGGTAAAACTATCAGTACTGCAGGGATGTTTTGTGAGCAGGTCGTACCGTGTTTGCAGAAGCCTCGGTCGTACCAGGGACAGTCTTTGATCTTGGACTCTGGGTCGATGTGCAGGAAGGGACACTCTTTGTTGCTACACTCACCTGAAAGGGTCATCACAAGAATTATAAAACAGGGACAAATACATGCAGTGATTTTATCAATTAGGAGCTGTTCAACAGTTATAATCTAATGTATTTTATATGACATCAAGTCAACTGACCAAATTTGGAGTAGAAGTAGCATTCGGGCATCTTGGTCATGTCGTATTCGTGGAGGAACTCGCACTGGTCTCCTTTCTTACACAGTCCTCTGAGCCAGTGCTTACACACCACCGTCTTCTCTCCGCTGATGTGACGGAACGGACACATCCCACCTGGGAGGGTAAACAAAGGACAGCACAACTTTTCTGAATAAAAACTACAGGGCATCCAGTCTTGATGTTTGCTAATGAATGAATCACATAGAGCAGGGGTGCCCAACCTTTTTTGAACCGAGAGCTACTTTTAAAGTTGCCAGTCTGCTGAGATCTACCAGTCCAAATAGAGAGGCGTAGCCATTACTGACAGCCTACTACCAGGTAAATACACACTTCTACTTGTATAAAACTGACCTTCGTACGATTAATACTTCATAAAATACTGCAGATCCTTTATCTTACCTCTTTCTAATCTACACACATACAAGTATTTAACTGAAGTTACACAACAGTGTTGTTGATACAGAGTTGGAGTTTATTCACACGTCACTACAGTGGGTAATGTTTTCAAGAAACATTGAACAGTGCTGCCACATATGACACAGGAAAAGAAGAAAAGATTCTGAACCCTTTCTTTGCCATTATATAAAAATAGTGTTGCTACAAAAGTATAAATTAGGCTTACTAATAAGACAACTCAGATCTGAAGCTACACAGGAATCTGCTGCCAAAGTGCAATAAAAAGGACAAAATTAATAGAATCAAACCCTTTTTTTGTTGCATTTTAGTAGAGTATAAAAATAAATGCCTTTTAAAATAGGATGCAAGCAACACTAGTTTCTTAACCTGAATTGATAATAGACTATAATCAATTTAAGTTTGCATTCTTATACCATTTTGTACAATAATTATAATGCATAAGTTCAAACAAACTCAAACTTACAGCAGATTAATAACGGTATCTAACTTGAGTTTTTATTATATCAAAAACCTGTTGAAATGCTACTGTTATTTTTACTGTCCCCAAAAAGCGCGTCGGCAGCCTCCAGGAATGCTTCTTTCACAACTTCGCCGTCTTTGAAAGACTTCATGTGTTTCGCAAGAACGTGACTGACACGATAAGATGCTCTGGTAGCAGCCTTGCTCTTGTTGTTGGCCCTGGTGGAAATGGACTGCTGTGCATTTAGCTGTCCTTTCAGGCCCCTCCCCTTTTGGAGCGTAGGGCAGAATTAGGAGGGAATTCCGTCTCGTAGCGTTTGTGCACTGTTTTGAAATGCCGCTCCTAAATTACCCTTCTTCGATAAAGCCATGCTCGCATTGCAGATGAGACAGATGGACTTTGAATTGGAATAGATACAAAAAGAATCATCCTCCCACTTGGAGTGAAAATTATATATTTTGGGCTTTTTTGCTTCTGCCATAATTGCGGTCTTGTTTGTGTGCGGACTGTCACTCCTGTTGACACGGACAACGTCAGCGAAATAGTGCCCACTGCCCACCAGCCACGCCCCGACACATGGGGTCACGCTGGCCAATCACAAAGCTTTGATGCGTTCAAGTGCATTATTCTGGCACAGGAACATTATGTTACAGGACATTAACGATAACACAGAATGTTGTTGTTCTATTTTTAGACACATCTCGCGATCGACTGGCACCCCTGACATAGAGGATATTATTGTGAAGCAGATCATTGCTCCCATTAGATTGGTTTAAAAAAGGTAAGGACATTTTCAGCGGGTAATTTAATATGTTATCAATCACTTAGAGCAGGGGTGTCAAACTCAATTTCATCGCGGGCCACGTTATAATTATGGTTGCACTCAAAGGGTCGGAGTAACTTCAAGACTATATAAATATACATAGATAAATATATATAATATACATATAAAATAATGTATTTTACAATATTTCCTCTGCATTGGATTATTATCGGATAGGGTAATAACTTCATAATTAACTACGTCTGAAAGCAGAAGTCTAGGGCAAATAATTGCAAGTCTCTTCAGTGAGAATGTCACAAAATGAGATGCATTGTGGGACATGTAGTTTATGGGCAACGTGCTCCTGTAAAGTGGCATGTAACCTTATAATAAACGTATTATAATCTTTGCAAGCTCTTGCGGGCCACATAAAATGAAGTGGCGGGCTGGATTTGGCCCCCGGGCCTTGAGTTTGAGACCCCTGACTTAGAGTGTATTCATTTGCATTTTCAAAATAATAACAGACAAAACAATATGATATTAACACTATACAATTAAACTGGAAGAATCTAAAGCATGTAGTGTACTGTAGAATGTATTTATTGTATTTGTGAACTGTGGATTTCCTCTCATATCTGAATACATTCATTATCTGAGTACTTATCCTTTTTTGAAAGGTTCTTATTAAATGTAAGGATTACAATGGCTGCATTATGGGAAGTGGATGCAAAACATAATCGGTACATCAAAAAAAAAATGTGTACAGATTAAGTTTCCACTGTCAACATAACTGTGACATTTGTCATGAATCCCTTTTTTTTGGTGAAAAACCCTGTGCAAAATGTGAATGTTGTGTATTCAGATCTAACACAAGGCCTCTACACAGACACAACTGGTAGATAAGAATTTCCAGGATACCTATTTATGGTATAACATTTTAAACAAGTGCAGTAGTAGTGTGTGGTGTACCAGTATTTTAGGTTATTTTGAAAGTAAATAGAAACCGGGTGGTTTTGGGCTCAAACAGAGTATACACATCATTCATTTACAATGGCGGCATTATGGGAAATGCAGGATCCAGTCTTTTTGAAGGCTTACTAGTTCTAGAAGATAAAAGTCAGGATAACTCTAATGCTTCAGATTTGACCATCATGTTTTTAACCCATCTGTTGTCAATACCCACACTTTGATGGAAGTACAGTGTGTGATTGTTGTCATGTTGTGTTTTTACCTTTCACACAAGCTGCTCTCATGAAGAACTCACAAACAGCAGACCCGGATTCTGCAGAAACACAAACAGTATTATTACAACCTTAATAAATACATTAGACATTAAGCTAAGGTCAACAGTTGTCTATAGACTATAGTTCACCTACAGCGGCTAACTACCAGCTAGCATCCGAGCACTTACTGTCCATGCCGGGGAAAGGCAGAGGCTGAGCCCCGAGCTGCTGCTGCATGGCCAGCTCCAGGTCAAACTTCAGGTGATCCACGGTGGCCAGGAGGTCCTGCATGTCTGCGAGAGTCTTTCGTGCTCTTCAAAGTAAGAAATGTCCGTTTTCGGTTAGCTAGCTAGCGGTTGAGCTATCTAAGTAGCTTCTTCTCCAGTCAGCTAAAGTGGCTAACCGGGCTAGCTAGGCTAACCGATAAGGAAACAATAAGCGTGCTCCCTGATGAGGAACCAGAAAAGCTGCTGTGGTTTGGAGCTTTAATTGTCTGTTTTAGAGAAACCTGCACATGAGTCGGTCTGTTGCTTTTAGTTACAAACTGCTCATTCTCAACAGCAGAAGGATGGAAGGCGCGCGGCCTGACCTCTGACCTGACGGATTCAAGGCATCACTAAACGATCATCGAGTGGAGCTCACATCAAACTGTGGTGCCTTTTTACTGGTTTATAATACTGTATCAATATGTTTTGGAAAGAAAAAAAATAACAAGCAAGATAAATAAGGAAGTGATGAAGAGTTGAATGTGTCATAAGTTCCACCACCATAGTTGGTTGACTTTTTTCACACTTATTGAATTATCGATGTCTACATTTAAATTCCAAATGCCACTTTCTGTCTGCATGCTGCCAGAAATAAACTTATAATAAACAATTTGTTTCCTAAAAGGAGAAATACATAGAGCCTCAGCCGGGAGGTTTCATGAAAGGGGTAAATTACAATTAGTGCACACAATTGAGTGATTTCTTTTATTAATTATGAAACAAATACAACACTTGATAATTGTATTGCATTATCTAGTAGGTACCTTTCACACAATTGTATACAACAACTCCTTTTATTCTTATATTTCATATTTGTATTTTGACCTTGGCAGGAGATTTGTAAGTAAGTAAGTAAAACTTTATTTATATTGTGCGGTGGAAGAACATTAAGGGGACATTATTCACTGTGTTATAGAGTGTGTTGCGCCACGGACCTGTTAGGTAGCGCACCTGTGCTTTGTTATCATTCTAGCTTGAGTAGCATGTAATGAAGTTGTTCCTACCTTTCTGTGTAAACTAATGGAAAATAAAGTGTGGAGTTCCATACTCAACACGCCGCCTCCGACTCCCATTCATCGGCTCTACAATAGCACCCTTCTCAACACGAATGTACAAAGTGCTTTACAGTATACAGTACACAATACACAATTCATAGTACAAGTATAAAATGTAGAATAAAAGGCATAAAACACAGCAGGTAAAACACAGGAAAAAACACCAATGAAAAACAGCTACAAACGCACCTCCTCCGGCGCCCCAAAGGCCCGTCGGAAAAGGAGAGTCTTGAGCTCCCTCTTAAAAATCTCTACTGAGACAGAGGCTCTTATTCTCTGGGGGAGTTTATTCCAAAGCCTTGGGGCCATCACTTCAAAGGCACGGTCCCCCTTAGTGTTTAGCCTGGTCCGGGGCACCTTTAGGAGGCCTTGCTCAGAGGACCTCGGGGCCCGGGTTGTGCTGTGAGGGTGGATAAGGCCGTTGTGTATATTCTTTGTCGATTCAACACTATTTTACAATATTGTACAATAAATCACCTCTGGCTGTCAGAGAACTCACTGCTCCATAGTTTCTCTTTGGTTAACTGGACTTTAAATTCACACTGTACATAATTCTAGTCTAATTATGTGCAATGCCTTGTTTGTTTTATGCCGCTGCAACGAAAACATTTCCCAATTTGGGATCAATAAAGTACATCTTATCTTTTTTTAGTTTATGTAAAAATATAATTTAAGTAATAATGAACACTCAACAAATAATTATGCAATATGTTTCCATATCTTTTTTTTCTTTTGGAACAAGATTTAATTGAGTTTTCAGAAACAAGAAACAGACTTGGTTTGGTTGGAAAACAAGATTGTTTCTGAAGATAACAAATCTAATTTAAAGGTGGGGTAGGTAAGTTTGAGAAACCGGCTCGAGATACACTTTTAGTTATATTCCATGGAATGCTCTTAACATCCCGATAGCAATGAATATCTTAAGTGCTTTGACAAAAAATCCATAAAGAAATGTAATATATATATATATATATATATATATAATAAAATTACCTACCCTGTAATGTTGGAGAAACCAGCTCGAGTGCGCTAGAATTTGAAAATACACAACCGGAAGAAATCTGCCACTTCCTTACAGAGCCCCTCCTCCAACACACACGAACGCGCACATGACCAATGAGGGCACGAGGTAAGTTTGTGCCCAGATGGAAGGCTGACAGGCAGGTAGGCCATCCAGTTACTTTAGCCGGGCCGGCTCAGATGATTGGTCGTGCTTTTTACAGCGCCACGGCTTCCACAGATGAATTTTTTTTAATATATATTTATTGTCAAAGCATTTAATATATTCATTGCTATCGGGATGTTAAGAGCATTCCATGGAATATGACAAAAAGTGTTTCTGAAGTGAATTAAATACCCCACCTTTAATGAAAGCGTATGATTTAAATTAAAAAAACAGACCCAGGAGTTCCCTTCATTGATCAGTGTGGAAAACAGTTTATTTTGATTAATATATGTTGATTTCAGCCATGATTAAAGCTTCAATGTAATAGAAACATCCAAGACCAAAGCAAACCATTTCTAAAACAGAGAAGGCACCGCTGCAACACGGATATTTGGAGGGGAAAACAAGTCTGCAAATCTTTCTTTTTAACCATTAAGACAAATCTGGCCAAAGCTGAACTGCTGGGTCCTGATTTTAACAAAACAAATATACACACAAAACAACACAACACAAACATTTGGCATCATAATGTTTGTTATAACCATCAATGCTTCTACAGCTCAGGGAGGCCAGGCATGGGGAACTGGCCGGCGAAGGCCTCCACCTCGGCTTTGATTTCTGAAACTCTCTGCTGGAACTTCTCTCCCTGCCGCAGCGCTGCGATGAACTCCTTCAGAGGGGCTTTGGGGTCCAGACTCCCCTGAATCTCCAGGGTCAGCTCGATGCCTGCAGGAGGAGGAGGGAGGACTTTCAGATGCTGACTTGATGAATGTGAAATCAGTATTTTCTTTTTTTTTGTTTTGGTGGATGGCTCTGAATACTTTATCTGACAAAAACCTCCCTTTTCCTGAGCTTCAGAGAAACAGCATATGAGAAGTGGGAGTAGGTGTTCCCTTACACAAAACACCTCAAGTTTTCTTATTCATTAAAGGTCGCATTCACTCCAGCCTTGTATAGTCCGGTTGAATCGAACCCTGGTGCGTTTAGCCGCTTGATGCGGTTCGTTTGGGTCGGTGTGAACGCAGTCCGAGACCTCTGAAGTGAACTAAACAACCGGACTCTGGCCCGCTAAAAGAGGTGGTCTCTGAGCGCTTGCTAGCGAACTCTGGAGCGGTTCATCGCTGGTGTGAACGCAGTCCGCACCAAAACATAGGAAGCGTAGTATTTACGTGTCACAAGAACGCGGATGTCTTCAAAATCGTTAGCGAAAGAGTGAAGCAGAATGAAGTGTTGAACAGTGTCGTGTAAAGTAAAAACAACTATCAAACTAAAAACTATACATAAAAGTCACAGCCACCTGTCGTCGGTGAAACGCCCTCCTGACTGCAGAACGTCTCATTATATGTTTTTTATCGCACGTTGTCTGATTACATAATCATATGCGCCGTTGCTAGAGTCTGTTGATCTCCAGATTAACAACAGCATGAAAATAACCTGCCGATGCTCCATGGCGGAGGCTCCGGTAGAAATTGCCGGGATTTGCGTTTTTGCCCCCTTAATGTCCCGTGTGAACGCAAACCGCGGACTATTAGGTGTGAATGCGACCCAAGACTTTACTTTCTCTTAAACTGAGGGACTTAGTCATTACATTAATGCACACAATATCAGTTGTTTTTTTATACTGCACATATTTTATTCCATTCTATTTCTATGTAAATACTGCTATATTTTACTATATATTTTTAATTTTATTATAGTTTTCTTAAAATAGTTCTCCATCTGTGTTTTACATTTTTGTTTTACTTTTATGTACGCACCACGACATCAAGTCAAATTCCTCGTACGTGTCAAACTACCTGTTGATAAACCTGTTTCTGATTCTGATTAAAAGTGTTGCAAAGAATCCCTAATAAATAAAACATTAAAAGCATTTAATGCATGGAAAGCAGTTCTACCATTTTGTTTCCCTGACTAGTGCTTGTGATACCCGGCATTGTCACAAAGTGGGTCTCCGGATAGTAATAGAAAAGCAAAAGAAAAGGAGATTACCTCTGTGAATGAAGTCGGCCACCTTCTTGAAGTCTTCCTGCATCAAGCCCCTGGAGGTCAGAGCTGGAGAGCCGAACCTCAAGCCACTCGGGCGCAGAGCACTCTTATCCCCTGAACAAACACATGACAACATGAAGAGTTGCATAACCAAGGAAAAACATTTATACAAGTATTTCATAATGGTTACATCTCATGCCTCATTCAATAAACAAAGGCTTATTTAGCTTTCCTCACACCAGGGACAAACAAAGCTGCATGTATTATATCATCAGTGCTAAAAAACACACACTTTACCTGGACAGGTGTTCTTATTACAGGCGATGGCACAGGCCTCCAGAACCTTCTCTGCTCGTCCTCCATCGGTTCCCTTAGTGCGCAGGTCCAGCAGGATCAGATGGTTGTCAGAGCCGCCTACACAGGAAGAGGAAAAGAGGCTATTAACTGTAGGTCTTAGTGACATGTCCCTAAACACATTATTGCAGGGTATTTCAACATTATACTAATAGACAATTGCAACAAATGAAGCTCAGCGCAAGTTCAACCAGGAAGACCGTCTTTACTGATTCATTTACTATTTCTATGTTACTACTCTCTCTCCTCTCAATAAGTGATCGGGGCGTCACTCCCCAGCTTAACCAATCACTTCGCTCTATTCTCACAAGCCTATCATAGCGCTCCGCTAACCCTTTTAAATCTGCTCTCCCCCTTCTGACAGCTGTCATTTCAGCTGACTCGACGCAACCCTCCTCACCCCCCTTTTCACCTCCCGTCCCTCTGAATCCAGGGTCAAGCTAAGCCCCTCCCCTTCAGACCGACCCCAACTATCCATTCACCACCACCACCAGGGTCAAGCTACGCCCCTCCTCTTCAGACCGACCCCAACTATCCATTCACCACCACCAGGGTCAAGCTAAGCCCCTCCCCTTCAGACCGACCCCAACTATCTATTCACCACCACCAGGGTCAAGCTAAGCCCCTCCCCTTCAGACCGACCCCAACTATCCATTCACCACCACCAGGATCAAGCTAAGCCCCCCCCTTCAGACCGATCCCAACTATCCATTCACCACCACCAGGGTCAAGCTAAGCCCCTCCTCTTCAGACCGACCCCCAACTATCCATTCACCACCACCAGGGTCAAGCTAAGCCCCTCCCCTTCAGACCGACCCCAACTATCCATTCACCACCACCAGGATCAAGCTAAGCCCCTCCCCTTCAGACCGATCCCAACTATCCATTCACCACCACCAGGGTCAAGCTAAGCCCCTCCTCTTCAGACCGACCCCAACTATCCATTCACCACCACCAGGGTCAAGCTAAGCCCCTCCTCTTCAGACCGACCCCAACTATCCATTCACCACCACCAGGGTCAAGCTAAGCCCCTCCTCTTCAGACCGACCCCAACTATCCATTCACCACCACCAGGGTCAAGCTAAGCCACTCCCCTTCAGACGACCCCAACTATCCATTCACCACCACCAGGGTCTAGACCAGTGTTTCTCAAACTTTTTCATACCAAGGACCACCTAACCAATAAAAAAACACTCGCGGACCACCTAACTCCACAAATATCCAAAAACACATCGTTTTTTACAAATCGCCTGAAAATGGTACAAACAAGTGGCAACATGTGTGACGAAGGTGTTTATCTGGGCTATTTCATGCAATCGAAAGTTAAACTTAAGCTCGTTCCATTGCGGAGATATTCCCGCGAGAGTGCGAAAAACTTAAATAAATGTATTTCTTTCAAATGTGAAATGTTACCAATATACTCACGGACCACTAGGGGGTGCTCACGGACCACCAGTGGTCCGCGGACCACACTTTGAGAAGCACTGGTCTAGACAGATCGGTTCTCCCCTCCCGAATGATACTTCCTGCACAACGGGGCCTAATCGCCAAAATTCCATTACATTCATTTGTGTATTCTGGCATTAAATATGTGTTCTTACATCAAAACCGTCTCTCCTGATTGAAGTGTTATAGTTTTAGATCAGCATAAACAGTTTGCCTTCAAAGGTTCTTTCAACACAAAAAACACAAGATCACTTAGTACTTTAGTTTAAAAACAACAATGGTAACTAACACAAATCTAAAGTTCATATCCAGTGTTTTCCCTACCATTGTCTTGGAGGAGCCCCGCGCCCCGCCTGAAATTCAAGGTGTTTTTTAAAAATATATATATATAGCACCAAATTGCAACTAATCTATATCTACTGTCACTTTTCACATTGATCATGCGCTCTTTTATTAAATAAACTAAACGCTTTCATTTCAAGTTGTGAGTGTAGTGTTTTTGACCCTTAGAAACTCTGATGCATTAATCAATAACAATAGTCCACAGCTCCTCGCTCTGCTCCAGAGGATTTAAAAATGTTTTATCCCAATGGTGAAGATGGAGGCGCCACTCACCTGTGACGATCTTGTAGCCGTGGTCAATGAGGCCGCTGGATAGAGATTTGCAGTTAACAAGAACCTGCACCTGGTAGGCCTTGAACTCTGGGGTCATGGCTTGTTTGAGAGCCACTGCAACACCTGCCAGGGACAAATGTTACCTAAATGAGTTCCTGACATACTTGAATAACAGTTGAAGTGAAACTGAGAGGATAAAGTCAAAGAGAGGAACATGAAGAGGTCTACCTGCGATAGCGTGGTTGTGCGGTCCTCCCTGCAGCCCAGGAAACACAGCCTGATTGATCAAAGACTCCAAGTTGTACAGAGTCTCTTTCCCCTTGGCATCCACACTGCGAACTCCTGGAGGAGCGAAACAGAAAAATGTGTGTGAAGACAAAATGGAAAGCTAGAGAAATAGTAACAAAACAGAAAGCTGTATTGATGACCAGACTAAAAAAGCAATCGATCCTCGTTGTAGGAGCCAAAATGCTGTGGTAGCCTGTGCTGTGGTAGCCTGTGTTTTGGTAGCCTGTGTTTTGGTAGCATGACAATGGGGGTTAGCTTAGCTCTGATAGTCTTTTGTTGACCTTATGATTCTGTTTGTTTATTGTTTTGATTTACAATATTAAATATCCTTAAAACGTTAAGTTCAGTACAGATTTATTATTTACCCGTGTCACATCAATGAGCGAAGTTTAGCCTCAGAGCGGCCGTATTCAATGGGAATATTGCCGCACGCCACACTCATATTCAATGTCTACCTTTCCTGAAGAAGATTAGTCCGGCGCGGCAGCCTCGCAGCGTCTTGTGTGTCGTTGTGGTAATAATGTCACAGTACTCGAAGGGGGAGGGCACCACTCCTGCAGCCACCAGTCCACTGATGTGAGCCATGTCTCCCATCAGGTACGCTCCGTTCTCATTAGCGATCAGCCTCAGGCGTTCGTAGTCCAGGTTGCGGGAATAGCAGCTGGTTCCTGGAGGGGAAGACGACGCAGGAGGTGAGAAAAACGTTGGATATTGACACCTGATTTGTTTTAATGTGTGAAAGTAAAATAGTTATAGCACACGTACCGGCGATGATGAGTCTGGGGTGGAAGAGCCGGGCGTTTTCTTGCAGTCTGTCGTAGTCAATGTAGCCAGTATCTGGATTCACCTGAAAACATCATATCAAATCAAAAACATCAAAACAGCTTAATATGAAATACGGAACATAAGCACAACACGGCAATATTTTAAATAAGGTTGTACTTTGGTCATAAGCCCATCTAGCTTTCAGATTTTGACCACATTTATTAAGTATTTTTACTGATTGAATTATATTCATTTAAGAAACACAGAAATGAATCGAAACACAAAAATATGAAAAACGGTTGTCATCAGATAATATTGCATCCCCCACTCATACTTGCAAAATAAACAAACATTTTAATCTTGTTTTCTCGCTACTTAACAACTTTTCTATTTTCTGTTGAAGGACAATTCACTGTTGTTAGAAAATGTAAGTGACAATTGCAAATAACTTATTTTGTGTCGTGTCATTATTTCCTTTAAAAACTACAAGGGATTTGGTTTCGAGTTTGTTTTCTGTCAAATTGTCAGCATGTTGTTATCACTGCTCTCACGAGGAGCCGCAGCCCAATGCCATGTGCACATACTTGCAGTAATGAGGAATAATCTTGTTTAACTTGGTGCAGAACTCCATAATCGAGAACTAACTAAAATTGTATCAGAAAGGGACTTTTTAGGACTAGAAAAACAAAACTCAAAAACTAATGTGCCTCCTCAACACAAGGCAATTCTAAGTGTTTTACAAAAATCCCTTTTCATACCTGCTCAAAGAGAACATTGTGCTCAATTCTTATCTAAAAAAGCATTATTTGGTGTACGCTCTAATAGATACCGTAACCAATGTTCACATCTTTATACACCACTCTGTAGGACTTCCTGTATGGCTGTGAATTTAAAAACATGCGATTGTACCTTGTACGGCATGGACTCAAAGAAGATGGACGTTGCGGATATTTTCTTCTTCTCAGTCATGAAGCCGTGTGTCAGGTGACCTCCATCGGGAAGGTCCAGCCCCATGATCCTGCCGTGAGGCTCCACAACGGCCGTGTAGACGGCAAAGTTAGCGGGTGAACCTGACAGGGAAGCAAAGACAAAGGTATGACAACTAGAAAAAGCAAGTAGTAAAAAGGAGACAGTTGAAAGACTTAAAGGTCCCCTATTATACTGTTTTTCATCAATATATTATAGGTCTCAGATATATACAAAACATGTCTCTGAAGTGTTTGGCTCCAAACACCAAACAGATCATTGCAGCATTACCCATAATCCCCTCTGTTTCAGCCCTGTTTCCAAAGTGCTGCTTCTCTGTCTGTTACTTTAGATGAAAATAAGGAGCCCCTCCCCACGCCCCTCTGATAGAGATTTGGTTACAAAGAACTCAATGGTGCTCTAGGAAGAGATTCAGGTGATAAGGTTGGGGGGGGGGGGGGGGGGGTTACCTTGGTTGCTGTTTGGCTAATGGTTACACAAGACAAAACATTGTTATGACACATGACTTTTTTGCCCTGGTTCTCAAAGGAGCACCTGGAGATGTTGCTTGGTGCTCATCCTTAAAATGAAATAAACCGTAACTTTTGAGGGGTCTTGACTTTATTTGTCAGACACACGGCACTGAACACACAGAGGTGCACACAGAACACACGTGCAGAGGTGAACACAGAACACACATGCAGAGGTGAACACAGAACACACATGCAGAAGCGAACACAAGACAACATTAGCACGACCAGTAATCCTACAAGCTGTCATCACTACCCTCCTGACTGTTCTCCTCACTGTCTTCCTCTCTGTCAGATATGGTAGCTGATGATGTAGGCCTACTACTTTCTCTCTGGTTGAGTCTGCGATTAGCTGCTTGCATCCACAAGTCAACAGCTGGGTTTGGGTCGAAAGTCTCTGTTGTCATCTTAGACAAGTGGATGTAATCAAATAAGTATGTGAACATAACCAATAACCTACCATAGCCAATAACAAATGAATGTAACTTATTTTATTTGTGTTGTTCATTCATATCTTATTTTACCTTAACATTTATTTATTTATGCATTTTTTTTTATCTCTCCAGTTTTAAAGGATATGTTTGGTTACTGTCCTATAGTATACATTGGAATGATTTCAAACCTGTTTATCCCAATAATTATAAAGGAGTGCCTTGGAAATATGTGTTTACATCAATTGCGACCAAACCGTTTGAACTTGGACTAAGAGTCCTTACCTCACTGAGCTGCAGTTATCAGCCTCTCAGTCTGACTGGAGAGGACTCTCCCTCCACATTATTGTAGAAACATCTTCTTCTTATATCCGTTAGAGCAGCTAGCACGGCACCAGATTCTAATAACAACAGCGCTGGTACCGGTGCACCCTCCCTCTCTCCCTCGCTCACTCGCATTTTGGCTGTGAGCTGCGGGCGCCAGATAAGCCAACATCCCCCATTTTCATCACTTACAGCGGCCATCGTACAGGGCAAATGAAACGTGTAACCGGGGTGAAAAGGGTGTTACATTTACTTAATTATGAATATTGTTACATCAAGGCCAAAAATTAGGATGAGCCCCAACGGTCAAAATGTTTTTTTCCCTCCCAGAACTGCCAGCGCAGCGACTCCCCAGATCTGGCGCCCTAGGCGAACATCTAGCCAGTGCTACGGGCCGGCCCTGAGTTCATATCATGGTTCATATGCAACTCGCAAATATCTTTCTCTCTTCTCTCATCTCTCCTCTCTCCTCTATTTTCTCTTTTCCCTTCTCTCTCTCCCTCTCTCAATGTTGGTACGCAAATGCGCTTTGTTTCAAATGACCCGGTGCTCTTTTTTTTGGCGGAGGTGCGCATGCGCACCTGCGCACCAGTTATGTGCAGCCCTGGTTATGACATCATAAAGTGGCCAAAATCTGATCAGCTCATTTTCAGACAGGACAAAAAGTGAGAGAATCTTTTTTTCATGAAACTTTCAGAATCTCTTTACACAGAGTTGATGTAGTGGATTTTGCATAATAGGTGACCTTACATTGGTGTTATATATAATTAACTATTTGGTACCTGAGTAAGGCTGCACGTTGACGCCCCATTTCTCTGAGTCCAGACCATACGTCTCCAGCGACCTCTTCTGACAGAGTCTCTCCAGCTCATCAACATGCTCCGTACCACCGTAGTACCTGAACACATCATAACGATTGTTACTGCTATGCTAGTTTGATATTAAACAACATCTTGAAGGCTGTAATCACATTGGGATTTCATAAATAGTTTGTCAATTGTTGTACCTCTGTCCGGGATATCCCTCAGAGTATTTGTTGTTCATGCAGGAACCCAGAGCCTCTAAAACGGCTCTGCTGGTGAAGTTCTCGGACGCTATGAGCTCCAGCCCGTACGTCTGCCTGTGCTTCTCTTTTTTTATGATGGAGAACACCTAAACCAAAAATATACACAAATACTGTTTGTTTATGGAACGATAACAACTCATCAAACAACAAATTATTAACAAATGATTAAATGTGAAAATAATGATCATTCTTGTCAGTTCAGGTTCAGAAATGTTGCAATGTTTACATCCAAACGTTTACATCCAAACGTTTACATCCAAACGTTTACATCCAAACGCCTACAAAAAACGTCAAGGTTTTTTTTTTAAAGGAAATTATTACTGCTAACCTCTCCATAAAATGTTATCTTGAAATCCATTCCATTCCATTACATGTTACTTGTTAGATGCTTTTATCCAAAGCGACTTACGTACTCAATACTGTGGGCAATCACCACAGGAGCAATTTGGGGTGAGGTGTCTCAGGGACACAACGACATGCTGACTGCAGTGGGGTTTGAACCTGTGACCAACCGATCCCCATACCGAGGCTCTATCCACTGCACCACACGCCTCCCATTGAAATCCATTGAAAACAAACCTCAGAGTCGCTGACGGACAGAGGATCCAGCATCATCTGGTTGTGTGAATCCCATGTTTCTTTGCTCACACTGTGGCCATTAGTCAAAGACATGGTTTCTCTGTTTCACTGGTCACTCGGAGAGGAAATCTGAAGAGGAAGACAATGCTTTGTTTAGAGATCAAATATGAATCATAAAATCAGAATCAGGTTTATTGCCAAGTAGGTTTACAACTACAAGGAACTGGCTTTGGTGTACAATGGGCCATACATACAGTATACACAGTCAGAGGAATTGAAGATAAATGTTTACAAGAATTATACATAAAACTAATTATATATGCAAAAAAATATGAGAAATTACTCAAAAATATATAGTCTATGTGCAGTATAAGAATTTAAAGTGGAGAGCATTGAACAGAAATGTGTTAAACAGAGGAATGTGTAGACATAAAAATACTGTTGACGCAAGGCAAAGTATTTTCATTGAAATGCTGAATCAAGAAAATATTGTGGAAATACAATATACATGTAAACAGATCCATTATCCTCAGACAAAGGAGGACTCACGCAGCAGTGATATGGCCTCACCAGTTACACTTTGAACCATTACACAGAAAGAAAAGCAAATGAACTGCAGAAACTGCCAAACAAAGGTTGTTAGGCAACTCAGATAACACGTCGACTGTGAAGTTTTGTGTACAGTTGCCAAATGTTTATCTGAGGCTGAGGTCAGTCATGTTGCTCAAACAGTTAGCACATGACTCCTGTTACCTTTATTATCCACTCTATCTGATCTACTCATACAGTAGATGCCCAGTAAGACCATCCTGCCACCAAGAAAACAGCAGACACATTGTGCATGCACTGCTGCATTTATTGGAAAAAGTAGTTTTGGAGGTATAAAAGTATATATTTTTAAAGTCACCTCAAAATTGTACTTAAGTAGTTGAGTAATGTAATTAGTTACTTTACACTATTGGCTCAAACCAGTCTATGGCTCAAACTGACGCACAAAGTTTGCAGCAATAACAGAAACAACTTTGTTATGTCATGTAGAGACTATATGTAGGATGAGCTGTTAAAAGTTACTCATTTTAATGATGTGAGAAACTGTGTAGGCTACAGTAAAATATAATAAAATATGACAGTACTATATTCAAGTAGAGCTGTGCAGGTTTAACAAGAGGTCGCGTGGAGCAGAAATGTGCAACATGTAGTACAGGATTTACAATATTAAAAATATATTGTTGTGAATTATGATGTTGCATAATGTTTTTCTGAGGTGGATAACAGTCACTGCCAGTAGCATAAAGTTAAGCATGAAGTGAAGAGGTGTTTAAACCCGGTAGTTAGCACGAGTTACAAGCGTAAGCTGATAAACGGCTAAATATATAACAGCAGTGCGAAAATAACCACGCCGCGGGGTGATAACAATTACTCCTATAATAACATCAAACGGTGACAGATAACACATTAAAATGTTATTTTCTACCTGTTAACTCAAACAGTTTTCATATGTTTTAACATGTCCTTAACTAGATATTATTTCACTCACCAGTATAGTGTAGGCTACAGCTGTCACTTTAGGACTGAAATGTGAGCACGGGGGCTGAACAAAAAGACCCTCACTGCAGAGGATAAAGTCCGCCAAACTTTGGACCAATCCGCTCCCTGGCTCTTCTTCTTTCTCAGTATTATCCGCCATGTTGGCTGCATTACTGCCACCCTGTGCTCACTGTGTGGAAACTTTATGTTTTATAATCATGTAGTTGTGTATTTTCTGTCAAAGGTGGGAAGTTACTAAGTACATTTACTCAAGTACTGTACAATTTATTTGAGTATTTCCATTTTAGGCCACTTTGGTACCAGTGCTTGAATTGGAATGAAAAAGGTGCCAGTACTCTAAAATCAGCAACTTTTCAAGTCAATTTTATATATACAGCCCACAAACAAGAATTTGGCTACTATAATGCTGGTGGGTTTGTCTCTTTACTACTGTATATTTTAGAAAGGTTCACTGTACTTAACATTTTTTATGATAGGCAGCGGATATGGCTAAAGCTCAGTAAGGTCAATATTAACTGAAAATATAGCAATCAAAGTCTAGATCTTCTGCTGAAGACACATGAAGCAGAGACCTTTCAGGTGAGAGCCCCTCTGGTTGGTGTTCAACATTAATGACAAGGAAACAAAGCTCTGGTCAGAAGCATTTTTTATAAAAAGCTTTAACAAAATTAAGTATTTCTGTACATTTTGAATGCAATCTAACTTTCCAACTCAGAAAACGAAAAACGAAAAAGTGCCAAAAGTCTTCTCACATGGCTGAGCTGCTTTGCAATATACTTCACCACTGAAGAATACAAATATGTATAAAGTAAACTATGATGCAATCTAACTTTCCAACTCAGAAAAATGATAAAGAGCATGAACAAAGAACATGTAAAAACAAATGCAAAATTTGCACAATCTAAAATGAGAAACTGTAACTGCAAGTAACAAAGTCTGAGCCATGGTAAAGAGTTACATTGAACACCAAGCTGATCAGATAACTCCCTGGTTGGTCTGAAGTCCTTCTATCTCCAGGATCTGTACAAATCGGCACATTATGCCAAAAGTCTTCTCACTGGGTGAGCGCTTTGCAATATACTTCACATTGTTAGAAAAGGCTCCAGAAGGCCTTGGGGACATCAGTATCAGGGGCTGGAGCTGGACAGGCTCTTTCATCAGCACTTCCTCTTCCCTTTGCCAGCCAGGACCTCACATACTGTTCCGGATTGAAACTGTCCTAGTGATGGTCCATTACATTTAATGAAAACCAGGCTGGACAGTTGGCTGACAGAGAGAGCATTCCTTTTTGCAGTAAGGATATCGTTCATGCAGCTGAATGCCCGCTCACACTCACTAGTGGAGACAGCGATGGTTCGGACTGCTTTCAGTAGAGGCTCCATGGCAGCAGGTGTACGGGATGCCCTGGTTTCCTTGTATTCGCGAAAGCCCCTGAACAGTCTCTCTTCTGTCCACTTTCAGCACTTCGCACAAACGTAGCACCTCTACGTCCCCATACGTTACGTCTAACTCCTCTTCAGGCCAACTTCAGGATGGATAACTTTCATGTCCTGGATTAGCTGATTGTCCCGGGCCTCCCGGCCATGTAATGGGATTTCTCTTGTGCTGACATGAGAGGAGGTTGTGGAAGTCATTCTGTGTCCTCAGATTCTCTACCATACTGCGGAAAAACTGACCTGCATGAATCTGTACAAGCCTGCCATTCTCACGCAGGGCAACACCCTTGAAGGACTTCTCAGCTAGAGCTGTATGAACTGTAGTCATGTGTGGGCCAGGCATGGTGACCATGGATTCAAAAACTCGTATTTCTCGAGTTAAGAGCCTATCTGCTGTAGGCAGTGTCATCTCTCTTTTTTGGAGTTGCCGAGAGAGGTCGCTGAGCTCTGTGAGCGCATCGTACATCAGTCCCAGATTGCTGACAAACGTTGCAGATGTGAGCACATCATCCAGGCCCTTGTACTTTGCTCTGTCTCTGGAATCCCTGCTCGTGTCGTTTTGCAGCATTTGTGAAGTGATCATGAAGCCCTCCGTAGTTTTCCCAGACTGCTCTGACGCTCCTTCACTTGAAGCCACCCCGCGGATGGACAAAACACGCCCTATCACCAGGAGACGCTGTCCGACTGCTTGCGCACACTGTGCTAACTGCCTCTGATTTTTGGGGAGGCATTGAACAAGGAATAGAGTTTGTCAAAAAAGATCTGGAAATGATTGAGCCCTGAGACCTCCTTGACCACATCCCCAACTGCCAGCTCTAGACGATGATTGGAGCAGTGCCACACAAACAGACTTGGGAATTTACTACACAACTGGGTAGCAACGCCTGTTCTCTTCCCCTAGCATGACTGAAGCCCCATCACATGCAAAAGAAACGAAACACTGACCTAAAAAGTCCTCGTTAAAATCTCTTCCAAGACACTCCATTAACGCCTTTGTGATGTCATCAGCCGTTGTTCCATCCAACTCGATCAGCCTCCCAAAAAAAACGTTTCGGGCTCAGCATCAGCTAATGCTGAGCGTAGACACACAACAAGCACCGTTTTACCACTAATAGTGGTAGATTCATCGACCAAAACACAGAGTTTTCTTTGGTTTTCTGTAATGTCTTTTGCCATTTTTTTCTTCAGCTCATGAGCTAGGTGGTCGATGATTTCGCCACAGGTTTTATTGGAGTGCAAAACCCTGCCCACGTTCAGCCCATTCAGTTTCTGTACATTCAAATCAATTGGCATGTCTGTGAATGGCCGGCTATGTTTGCCAATTTTATATGCCGTTCGAAAAACTCTGATAGTGGTGTCTAATTCAGATTTATGCATAGACTGCACTTGATGTTGAAATAGTTTCACGTGAAGCAGAATGTAAGGATGTCAGCAGCTTTTACATGGGCTTGTGATTCTTTATGTTCTTTGATTTTTTTTCTCAGGCTAGCTGTTGTTTTGCCCTTGTCAACACCGAAATGAGACACTGCACACTCACCCCATTCAGTTGACAGTTTCAGTCCTTGTCCAGTGTGTATTCCCAAAGATTTGACATCTCTGCATATCCGACATCTGGACCATCCGGACCTGGTCCGTTGTCCAGCAGTCAGGTGCATCGCTTTGCCCGGTGTTGGTGGTGGCAGTTGTGGCAGTTGCGCCAGCAGCAGCTAACGTTAGAGGCTCTGGAGGAGGCTGCGGAGCTAGTGCTAATGCTAATGCACTAGAATTTGGAGCAGGAGGATCAACCAAAGAAAGCTCCCCATCAGACACAATTTCCAACACAGGCACAGCATTCTCTGTATTTGAAGTTTCTTCCGGCGACAACCGCTGTCTTTTTGCACTTTATTAATCCACGCTAACATTTTAGAAATGCTAATTTGTGACGTGACTTGCTTTCCTTCTCTCGGGGCGTGCCTGCTCTGTTCTATCACTCTACATAGCCACCCACTGGGTGGGAGTTGCACTGCATAAACACAACACACGTGCATCTAGGTATGTAAATTGTAAAGCATTAAAACATGGTTTTACTAACAGTTTTCAGTATGTTGTTACTTCGGCATTATTATTATTATTATTATTTTGAAACGTGTATTACTATTAAATCACGGTCAAATAGGTTAATTTTGACATAGTCGTTTCCACCACAGTATTTACATGGAGAAGATAAGCCCCGCCCCCTCTCCAGGACGTTCTGTTTGAATGACAGGAGTAAACAGCTGACAGCCGCTGTGAAACTCCAGCGGTTAGAGCGATGAGAATGTCCGTTCGGCACCTCATGACGCATCTACTGAGCACCGGGCGGCTGTATATATATATATGGATGTATAATAAGAACGGCGGGAGAGTGTTGAGTACTGGCACGGTGCATGAGTACCGGAGTACCGCCAGCATGCCGGTACTGAGCAAGAAGTGCCGGTACTCCATGGGTCAGAACCAGAAGTGCCGGTACTGCGTACCGGTGAGTACCGGCCCAATTCCAGCACTGCTTTGTACTCCTAATCCACTACAATTCAGAGGTTAATCATGTACTTTTACTCCACTAAATGTATTTATTACCTTAGTAGATTTGGATTAATGATATGAAATATATAATCAATTATTAAATTAGATTGTAATTACACCTGGAGTAAATCCACAAGCTACCCAGCAGTTTAAAAAGTCATTAAAACTAGCTGCACCTTTACCAGCTTTGAGAACACTTTAATTATCAATATTTATAATCAAAACATATCATATATTATTCTGGCCGTAGACTAAATCTCACCCTTTATTGCCCTTCATAAGTTGTTCAGTAGTTCTAAAATGTTTTTTTTCTACACTATATCTACTACTGATGTCAGGGCCAGATAAACCCACATCACTCGTTACTGATTGTTACTGCTGTGCACAGTCCTTTCTTCACTGTCAGTGAATCTGCTTTTTGATTCATCTCATTTTCATAACAGTTGACCCAACATGGACTCTTGCGCTCGAGGCTGTTCGTGACCGTTTTCTCACAGGGAAATAATGCAAACAAGAAATGTACTGTACACATTTTATTGTTTTCATCATAATAATCTGAAATATTTCCATGAATCAGTTATGTACAATGTGAGCTCCGGAAAAACATAGTGGCAAAGCTGAGTTAGCAAAGTCGAACTTGGTACAACCACAAATATATCGTTAATAATATCAGATCAAAGGTTAGGAGGGGTTCATTCTAAAGTGCACGTGAAGAGAGATTTATTCATCGGTAACTTCCTGGAGGGATGAATAAGGCCAAAATATACACAACCCCTCTCCACTGGGGTCTCAGCTACCATCTTCAAAATGGTCACATGAACCAGTAACGTGGACACATCATCCATCCTTTAAAAATAGTCAAATATATTTTTGCGCCAGTCTGTGAACATGTAAAAGTGCCTCTGATCAAAACTGTCCATCATTTCATTGAGAGGGAGTTCATTCCTTTCGCCGCTGCTGCTGCTGCCTCTTTTGCTGCAAGCAGAAAATAACAGAGACACAATCAGCTCCACGTGACGCATGAATAAAATCAGCTATAGCATCATATAGAAGACATGGAGAAAACTGCATTTGGTCTTGTATTTGTAGTGCTTTGGCGCTGTTTGGCTGTATTATCAATGATTTACAGACAATAGAGTCAGTGAAGAT